ACCATGCCCAGCTAATTTTTTGTAGTTTCAGTAGAGATGGGGTTTCACCATGTTAACCAGGATGGTCTCGATCTCTTGACCTCGTGATCCACCCACCTCGGCCTCCCAAAGTGCTGGGATTACAGGCATGAGCCACTGTGCCCGGCCTCATTCTCAGTTTTTAATCATAGTCAATCTGCAGCTTCCGGATACTGTAGCCCACATGCATGAGCTTGGAGGCCCTCCCGAGCAGCCCATCCAGCTGGATGGAGCACACACAGGTCTCCAGATGGGCCATGTCCCTCTTATCGTCCCAAGGCTTCACGTCCAGAAGGATAGAGGATTTGGCCACCAGCACAACTTCTTGGGCTTTTCTTTTCTGAGACGTAGTCTCGCTTTATCGCCCAGGCTGGAGTGCAGTGGCTCGATCTCGGCTCACTGCAACCTCTGCTTCCCAGGTTAAAGCGATTTTCCTACCTCAGCCGCCCGAGGAGCTGGGATTAGAGGCATGAGCCACCTCACCTGGCTAATTTTGTATTTTTAGTAGCGACAGGGTTTCATGACGTTGGCCAGGCTGGTCTTGAACTCCTGACCTAAGGTGATCCACCCACCTGGACTCCCAAAGTGCTGGGATTACAGGCGTGAACCACTGCACCCCACCTTCTTGTCCTTCTTCTCTGTGGGGCGCCACAGCTGCTCCTCCTGCAGCCGCGCTGCCTCCCTATCCTCATATCATTGTTGCTGCCAAACAGGTCAAAGTCATCATGTTCGGCAGGCTCGGCTTCCAGCTTGGAGACACACGGTAGGCTGCCTGCAGCTCCTGCATTATGCCCGCGCGGGAGGGGGTTCCACTTCCAGGCTCGCGATCGGGACCACCAGCTCATGGTGGTTTGCGCTGGGGCCTCTGGAGGCCCCGGGGTCTGAGCTTCCGGCCAGGGATTTCTGGATGTTCTCTCTCACCCTTGCAATATCACAGAGGATCACGCTTGCTCTGATCTGGCGGGAGGCGCTGGCCACAGCAGGCCCATTCATCTGCCCATAGAATTTCCTTTCTGCATCGTTGTATTCGAACTTGTCAAACTAGATCTTCTTATGTACTAGGAAGTTTATACCTATTCTTCTGATGCCAGCCAAGGACATGGTGGCCAGAGAGGAGGAATCGGTGGGCACCAGATGCCCGAGGAAAGGGCAGGGGTGTGGGTCTTTACATTTTAGTAACAAAACAAAACAGTAACTTGCCCTCATGGAAGGAGTCTAAGCAAAAGTGGATGTAGTCAGAGGCATGTGCCCTGCTCGATTGCTATATAACAGTTTCTTGTTTCTATTCTCTAATCTCAGATGGTGAAAGAGAGAGCTTGGCTCGGTGGAGCGAGAGAGAGAGATACCTGGAGAGGTGGCAAGGGACCAAGCCACACGGGCCCCTCAGTGCGAAGCGAGGAGCTTGCTGGAGCCACGGAGGGTTAGAGGCAGAGGAGGGATGCAGTCAGCTGGGGGTGTGGTGGGAACAGCCATTGAATGGCTGCCTGGCCCTCAAGGGGTCCGGGCCCTGACCTAGCCCTGACCTCTTTGCTCCCCTCTCACCCACAAGAGTGGGCCTCTGAGTCTGGGGCCTGGGGCAGACAAACCTGTCCTGCAGCTGCCTGGGGGAGGCCACACCACTGCCGATCTGACTGAGCCACACTCTGCAGGTATGTGGTCAGACGGAGCCAGAAAGCCGAGTGGCAGATGTGGGTCAGAGATGGCAGCCTGCCTACCTGACTGCCCAGAGGGCAGAGGTCAGATCAACCACCCAGCCCCCCATCTGGCAAGTCCTGGCCTTTTTTTGGCAGGGGCAGGAGGGACAGGGTCTTGCTGTTGTCCAGGCTGGAATGCAGTGGCACCATCACAGCTCACTGCAACCCCTACCTCCTGGGTTCAAGCAATCTTCCTCAGCCTCCCAAGTAGCTGGGACTACAGGTGCAAACCACTATGCCCAGCTGATTTTTATACATTTTTTGGAGAGATGAGGTCTCACTATGTTGGCCAGGCTGGTCTTAAACTCCTGGCCTCAAGCAATCCTCCTGCCTCAGCCTCCCAAAATGCTGGGATTACAGGTGTGAGCCACTGCACCCAGCTCTGGTCTGTCTTAACTGCTCAGATAAAGGTTGAAAATATTTAGTAGAATAATTCCCTTTTCATTGTACATTTTATATCTAGCAGTGACATTTTAATTAAGATTTATTTCTTGATTTTTGTTGGAGGACAAAGGCAGTAATCATCATAGAATATTTGGAAAATACCAAAATGCCCAAGTAATGACATAAAAATCCCCTGCAAATGTGTCCTCTTCCTCAATAACCTTTGGAAGACCTTCTTTAAAAAATGCAAGCATGGGCCGGGCGCGGTGGCTCACGCCTGTAATCCCAGCAC